GTTCCTATATAGTCTGCTGCCCTCTTTGTGTTGGTTCCTTCAAGAGTAGTTACAGTGCTGTATCCATAGAGTTTATAGAAGACCAGTGTGACCACTGCTTGGGATTTATTCCAAGGTCTTGGGATTTTTATGACACCTTGGGTTCTTGGGATTTTTAGAATGATATGGAATTTTCAATTTGTTTCCGTCAAGAAGTGAACAAATAGGCTGATAATGACCATATAAAACCACAGTTGACAGTTCAGAAGGGGCTGTTGTTCAAAATAAAAGACCCATTGAAAGCTTTGTACTTTTTTCAATTCTTTCTGATAGACTATTGTTTGAAGTCATTTTCATCATTTTTCAAATATAATAAGGTCATTTTTAAGTTTAATCTCTTCGATATGTGTCCCATTGGCAGATACAGTGTTTTCTTTAGTTCATAGAGCTGAAGTTGAGCAAAAATATTGCACCTAGATGCCAGGAAATCTTGCAATTAACGTCTCATATTTCGCAAATGATTTTCATTGTTTTAATTTGACAATTAGAAGTTCAATAAAATTCATCAAAAATACTTTACTCTTCTCACCAGATTACACCTCCCGAAAAAAGAAGTTAAAAATCAACGCCAATACAATTGCCCTGTCATTTTATGTAGGTATATGATTTTAATTTATGTAAGACATTGCTACCATTACCCTCCAACTTCAGAAAATGGTACACAGTTGAATTAAAACGAACGAGTACAGTGTAATTGGTCTCGAAAATCCAGACACTTCGTTATACAGTACAGATTACAGTCAGTATAATTTGCTCCTTTTAGGGGCGTTGAGCAGTACACATCCAGAAGGCTTTAAAATTGGACTTCTAAATGAAATTTTATGTATATATACTAATATTTTGCGAATCTGAGTCTAAAAATTACAAAGGTTGCTTTGAAAATACTCAAAGCAATCTTCGTATTTTTTAGACTCAATCTTAGGAATTTTTTATTTTTCCCAGTGGTCACGCTGTACAAGACTACATACAGTATCTTAAGTTTATAGCAGCAGCTTTGAACAAAATTACATCCGGATACACTTTATCCCTTTCACATGCCTGTTGGTTTTTTCTGCGGAATAACAATACACTTCTGTAGTATGACAGACTTTTAACTGTACAGTGAAAAGTCCTTGATTCTATAGAGGCAGTAAGCAAGACCCCATCCACGATACTTTTGCGAGGCTTTCAGGTTGAAACACAAGCTGTAGGGGACTGTAATTCAGTGGCGTATTTACGGGATGCACGCCTCTCCAAAAAAATCATTGTGAAGTAGTTAAAAATCACCTTATTTTGCGAGTTACCGCCCCTCAACTGATCATCGAGCCGCACTTCACGCCCCCACTTGCAAGACTTCTAGATACTGTATACCACTGCAGTAATTTTGAAACGCGTCATTAATTGTGCTTACAGTACTGTAAATACTTTTGTATACTGTATTGATTTTGCAGCACAGACTACAATATACCGTAATTCGACTATCTGTTTGGAATTCCTTGAAAGTAAATCCGCTTTTATCACAACACAGTTATGTAGAGGATTAGTGGTTTACGTATACAGTACTGTACATACATATATACTGTACTACTACTTTACAAAAACACTTGTTGACAAATAAAATAAAGATTTATGTCAAATTTATTCTTCCTCTTAGGAATAACAATTTACAACAAAAACAATGACATTTTTAATGAAACAAGGCATGAAAATACTGTAAATTAAGTGTTTATAGGTGTCCACAATCTTCTTTATACCACAAATCTAAGTATAAGAGTACAGTATGTGTTTATATAGTACGTGGTCATTAACCAGGATTTATTAACCAATTAAATTTGATTGTACAGTACTCTGAATATAAAAAAGGATGTCAAATTATAGAGTCATATGGAGTAGCTCCATGATTATGAGTCATTGAAATTCATCCTTAAATATCTTCCTGGTAGAGTAACTGCAAACGTCACCAAAATTAATTAATGATAACAATTATTAACTGTAAAATTGAACAAATTTAATATTCAATACAGTCCTATATAGTTAAATCAAGACTATGTAAATTGTTCTTAGAACAAACATTATATATAACAAAAATATAAACTCTATATACCCTTATTAAAACATTTTAACAGAAAACTGAATTTAAATAAAATAAACTTTAACAACCATGTCCTAAGAAACCAGGAAGTATCTTTGTTTAAAACTCAATGCATAGATTTTAAGTTGAACCAATACTGTCTGGTTCATCATCTATTAAATGAACGTTTGTTAACGTCTGAAATTTGTTTGGCATAGGATCAATTCTTTGTAGATATTTTGATTTTGGAAAAATTGATTTACTGTATTCAATTGTTCAGAGTCTTTTACCTTGTCAATAAACTATGGGAATATTATATCAAAAACATATGTCAGTAGGCCTATATGTTACATAAATTATATATACAGTAATGTAAATGTTTACTGTAAGCTTATCTGATCTTCTTAGGTAGAAATATCTTCTAGGCTTAAAGTGAGAAATAAAAAAAATACTTTATTTTATTTAAATAAGTAGTGTTGCGTAAAAGGGGAAACCTGGTTATTATATTGCACACATTACCAACCGAGTTCATCCTCTTTACTGTCAAATCATAACATGCAATCATTGAACATTTGATAAATTATGTTATACCTGGAATTGAAATTGCTATATAGGGCCTAGGGCTAGCATAGTTAAAGTAGTCCTAAGGCATCTTTGTAATTGCATGCGGATTCAATTAATGTTCATAAAGGTGTTACAGACTTAATATAAAATATCATTGCATCCATTCAGAATTGCGAATGTTACAAATGTTTGTCCTTTCCTCAACATCAATTGTCAACATGGACTTCATCAATTCCTTCACCTCAGATGACAAATTGCACGAGTCTGGAAATGTAACACCTTCTTTTTGTTCTTTCATTAACTTTGGAATACTTTCAGTATTAAATGGTCGATGACCAACTAACATTATGTAGAGAATAACACCTATGCTCCAAATATCTGCAACCCGTGGATCATAATCGTCCTGTCGCAGAACTTCTGGTGCAATGTATTCTAATGTCCCGCAAAATGTGCTGCATTTATCACCAGATTTACAGTTTCTTGCAAAACTAAAGTCTGATAGTTTCACATGATTGTTTTGGTCTAGAAGTATATTTTCACACTTCAAATCTCTGTGCGCTATACCCTCTTCATGAAAGTATTCGACAACCTCGAGAATCTCCTTAAAAGTCCGCCGAGCCCCCTTTTCTGTCTCAGGACCAAACAGTTCAATTCGTGCAAGGAGGTCCCCGTGAACAGCTTTCTCCATCACAATGTAAATGTGTGCATCACATTCTATGACCGATAAAACTTCAATCACTCGTTCATGCTTTACTTTCCGGATGATTTCAAGTTCATTCGGAAGGTACTTTTTCATGTACCTACCGGGAGCATCTTTTAGACTAATAATCTTGATTGCTATCTGTCTATTGTGTAAATTCGACCAACCATCCTTAACCTTTGAGTAGGCACCCTCGCCGATGGTCTTGCCAACTTCGAATCCCTGATTCAACAGCACCTTTTCAATGTTGACGACTGCCGCAGCGGTATGTACCTCTTGTTTGGATTTCTTCGAGCATTTTTTTGAAGTTGTAGTATTACCTCCAGTCATTTTGCAACAGTAGTAGATGTAATAATATAAATTTACTTTCAGAGATAAAGATCAGAATTGCTTCAGTTTAGCCTAGTAGTTTAATTATTATTAAGTAGACAGGCTATATGTATGTACAAGTAGTAGTACCACAATCTATCTCGTGAATGTGGCGCAAATAAAATCGCAAGGAGTTGTAAATTCATTCACATTGAATTCGACGAACGTCATTGGTTGACTAGCCATGAAATATCTATTGATTGGTCAATGCCAAGGTGAAATCACTGAAGCATGAGATGAAGGGCGGGGACTAGTTAGGCATGTGAGGTTTTCATGAAGTGCACGATGGAAAATTCCACTGCTGTTTGTAGATAACTAGCTCAACCTGTACCAGAGCCGTAGATAGAGAGAGTTTGGCCAACTTGGCGCATGGGCGCCATGTTGTCACCAAACAGCGTGCGCGCGTATAGCTTTATAACATTTTATAAAACACTGATGCTGCATAAACTTTCTTTCATTATTCTGTTCATGAGGCCAATTCAATTATGGGATTTTAACATATCATTGTAAATATCATATATAATCATATTTACCTAACTTTGGAATTAATTAATCAGTGACGTGCTGTATTATTTCGAGAAGATAAAGTGAGGACGATTCTTTATTTTTTTTTCGTTACGATTATCTTTTTGTTTTGAAAGTCTATCATCTAGGCCTAGGCCTCTATACCTAGTTGCTAGCAGCCTCCTCTGAGGCTCCTAAGAGTAAGAGGCAACACTGCAGAGGAGAAAGGTTTGTGCAGACAGAGTAGGTTTGTGAATCGTAGGCGATAATATGTTAATTTCGTCTGTAAATGAATGATAAAAATATTAATAACATGAAAGTTTTATAATTGTATCTAGGCCTTTAGACCTATGACTTCGTAAACTTTAATTTATGAAATAATATATGCTGGTCATCTGCAAACCAATACAAATAAATAGCCTAGGCCTATTTGTAAATTGTAATCTAAACAATAAATCAAAGTTGAAGAATTATTGCATTGAGAGAAATTTTTGTACATATGCCTAATCATTCATAATCAAGAAGCTAGGCCTTGTAAGTCAAATAGCAGCATTCTCCATACTTTGTTTATAATATTAGTGAGTTATAATATTATCATTATTAATATTACTGAATTATTATTTATTATTATTTTTTATTATTTATTATTATTCATTGAAATTTTGATTTGTAATTTGTAAAACATTTAAACGTTTTGATTTAAAATATGTATTAAAACAATCAATATATTATAATACAGTTTAGGCATATCTTTAAAATATATTTTTATCTATAAAATCTTTATTTGCACAATTAATTGATTTGTAAAGCACAATTGGGCATGTTTGCATAGCACAGGACTCCTTGGACAAGTTTTCGCTTTTATTGGAGGATTCAATTATTATTTTTAATTATAATTTAAGCTACCTTTGACTGATTCTTCATGTAGCTTTCTGGATAGTTATATAATTTAACAGCAAAGTGCAACATTGCATCTTTTTATAAATCATTGCTGCTTGAAAATCCTTCCTTTTTTTTTTTACTACATCGTAATTAAGCCGATTTAAGTACTACCTTACGGTGTTCGGCCGAAGAAGTACCGAAATTTAGGCCTGTCTAGGCCTAGGCCTAGTAGTAGTAGGTGGATATATATTACCGCGAAGTGGGGCGGGCGGTGGTACATGCCTTATAATTTACTACGTGGATAGCTAGATTTTTCGATCGCCATGCAAAGTTAAAATAAAATCCCAAATCTTCCTCCTTTTTGGAATTTAAGGAAATTAATACATTTTTGTTTCTTTGTTGGATCGATTGCAGCAACCCCAAGCCCAACATAACGGTATTTCACATTATAATTATTTATAGCATTAATCAATCATCTATAATATTACTGCTAACTTCCTACCCTATCGCGTTGGTGACAACATGGCCGGTGTAAGTCACGTGATTGAAACCGAGTTGGCCAAACTCTCTCTATCTACGGCTCTGACCTGTACCATCTGTTGCCGCCCGCGTACTCGCGTAATGTGTAGCATGGCCTATACAGTAACATGATTATAGAAATGAATCATATGATTGAAATAATCCCAGTAGTTTTCATCTTCATAATGGTTATACTAAAAAGAACAAATTCAATCGTTTATACTATATTGGCTGTAGGAATCATAATCCAAGCAGCGTGGAGGATGAAGTCATTAGCTCCATGCTCCAAATGAGAGTACTGTAAAGAAATGGAAAATTCCAAATTAAAGGTCAGATGTATGGATGTACTATCTGGCAGTAGGATCTAAAGTCTTTGCCTAGGGTAATACAAAATTCCTGCTGGACATAGGCCTACAAATAACAGTGTCATGTATTTTTTTTTTTCAAAATACAGATGAACTTCACAGATGGTGCAATCGTACTACCTTAAAATAATTGTTCGTTTCAGTATTGTGTTTCTGTTGATATATTATTTTTATCATTATGAAAATAGGGATTTCCAGGCACTTAGAGGCCCATTTAATTCTCAATCAAAATGTTCGCACCTCAGCCCCACCATGGTGTGGACTCCCACGCACTCCCTAACGCCAAATCGTGCATTCGCCTCAGATACTCTTCATGATGACTCTGTATTCCAGTCTTTCATCATCCGTTTCTTTAGCACAGATTCTATCACCATGTGGTTCTTGAAACTTTCCATGACCTTGACCTTTCACCCCAAAATTTAATTACATCTTTCTCAGACCATGGTATCATTCCAATGAACATTTTGATGATCCATTCGTTTTTGCATAAGCTTACTAAAAGACAGACAAAAGGCCTCCAAATAACCTCTATGGGGCAGATATAAAAAGATGTTACAATACTTTGTCTATCCAGATAACTATTTTGAGGTGCAGCATGCCACAACATATGGTAAAGGTAAAGCTAAAAACAGAATGTAAATACGACAAAATATTTTTATCCTCCTCATCATCATCACATCGATCATCATCAGCCTCTCTTTTTAATACCTCCATGCTTATATCATCACAGCAAAATCATCATTATCCTTCAGCTATTCATAGTTCTGAACATCATTCATACATACACACCAAAGCTCACACATTTGGCATTCGAAGGTCTGTCTCACACTCACGCTTAAGGACCAAATCTCACGCATAATGTTGTCTATAATACAAAATATATGTAGCTCTCTCTCTCTCTCTAAATATCATCATCTACAGAACTGTACTTAAAATAGGATTGATTTTGTTATTAAATATTTGAACACAAATAGTGCTGCACTGCACCAGGGTTAAGTTGGCTTTCTATTTTAAGTAAGCCAGACACACCCTAGGGGAGCAATTTTTGGAACAAAAGCCTCACTAACATTAGATTCAGTGCAATTGTCTTGTCACTTGTTGCTTGTATAATGCTTTTCCTTTTAGTTACAAAGCACTTTAAGTTTTTCCCTGGTCATTGGGCCCACATGCTTAAGTGTTGCTGCCATATTGGCGCAGTAACAGGCAACCCCACCAGGTACCCATTTATACTTCTGGGTGCAGAGAAGCAATGAAGACAAAGTGCCTTGCTCAAGGACACAAGCGAAATGCACAGCGAGGGATTAAAACCCAGACCTTGAGGTTGGGAAACCAAACCATTCCCGCTGCGCCAAACTGCTTTTTTTGGTTAAAATACAACTGAAACTATGACATGAAGCAAGTACTTATGATCAAAGCTGATCCTTTGTTGTTTAATGTTCCATTTCTGCTAACACAACTGCAAATTATATACAAATAAATATAACAAACACAGAAATCACAAATTTAAAATTACAAATTCCTAATTAAAAATTATTGTAAAAAACATTGATAGGAGCAACACTGCCCCTATGTTTTTTTTATGTTGTCATTCACAAATAATCCACAGTAAAAATCACTGCATTCTTGAGAAACCATTAAAAAATATATAAATTTAAAATATAACAATTCAACAACTGAAAATGGGCCCTACTGCAGAAAAAATACAAATACAAATTCTCAATTAAAAATTATTGTAAAAACTACTGAATAAGATAGGAGCAACACTGGCCCTATGTTTTTTTATGTTATTATTCACAAATAATCCACAGTAAAAATCATGGCATCAATAAATAGGAATCCAATTCAGCAATTTAAGACAACAGGCCTTACTACAGAAGAAATATAATTGTTCAATTGGGTAATATAAAATGTAATGCAGTTAAGTGTTAAATTTATATTATTGATATTTAATGCCAAAACAAATTATTTTAACTTTAAATTATGTACATAAATTACTTTTTTTAGATTTCAGAAATTGATTTATTTCGTAGAATGCATTGTATAGAATTTAGAGTCATGGTTTGGTAATGTTTCACATTTTGAAAATAAAAGTATCATTGAAGAAGTTATCTTCATTGTCACCACCTCCAAACATGATTACATCTGATAAATTTTCTTTGTCATTTTCATCTGCAAAATTGTAGCAACAGATTAAGGTGTGTCCGGCTTTAGGGACTGCTGGAACTGGGAGCTCAACTTGTGTCCACAAAAGGTCATCTATAAAAAAAGGTCAAATTATTATACATAGTAAGTACAAATATTATTTGGTAGACAAAAAAAACAAGGGGTTTACAATAAATTCACTCATGAATAACCACTACTCCGTATAGTGTTATGTAACATGTTATGCGGAAACGGAGACGAACCGATTGGTTCAGGCGACGATCGGACTACGTCTGAAGAGGGTCCAGACGGACCGAAAATTTGCGTCACATACAGTAAGTGTTGAATGTATATATATATATATATATATATATATGATTATATATGTTTTTACACTGCTGTCAGTACACCATACTTAGGGTCGAAATGGCTCCATTTCGTGTTAAATCTTGTATTACAATAAATTGTTATGTATTTTTATTAAGTCTATTGTTTACAGTTTGTATATTTACATCAATGTAAAATGCAATAATAGAGCCAGACATTTTTGTAAGTAAAGTAAAATTTAATAAATTAATCAATGAAAACAGCAGGAATAATTAAATAAAAAAGTTTCCAGATTCAGAAAATATAACTATGCCACTTCCTAACTGGACACACTCAATAGTTGGATCTTTTTGAGCTATGCCAAAGTTTCACAGATACAATCATTTAGATATTGTGCTGCATTATTTGGTGTTGAAAGTTTCAAACATGTAAATTTTGAGTTAGGCAATGTGTCATCCAGGATATTATAAACATTCCGTTGTTTCAATTTCTAGTCATGGAAGTTTCATACTGAGTACCAGCATGAGAGTCATATCCAAACTGTCAGACATACGCAACTACTTACAATACCTCTTTGATATGTCCGCACTGCAGACAGACCATACTCATGATCATAGCCAGGATTGTCATAATAATAATAATAATAATTAGCTTTATTTTAACATGGGAAAACTTGTTTCAACAAAAGTTGTTCTTCTACAAGTCCGTGAAGAAACAAACAAATTTTACAAAATGAAATTAATAAATTTGAAAGCAAGTCAAAAATAGTAGCATATGGCTACCATTTAGTTAACAACTTAAAGAAAACCAAAAATTACATTTATACAACAATTATTCTATATTGAAATGTCGACATTCTGTAACCAGGACCCTTAAAAAACCCCAGACCCCCCCCCCCAGAAACTCTACCACGGATATACCTCGCAACCCGGACATTTTGAGAACTTAAAAGCCTTGGTTACGAAATGTTCAGATTGCGAAGCACCCGTAGCACAGCGTCATGAAACATCCAGGTTACACAATATCTGCCACTCATCTACATGATAAAAAGATAAAATAAAAAATTACCAAAAAGGTACTTATTGAACTTAAATTAAAAATTAAACTTAAAATCAAAATCATTAGCTAATATACAGTGGTAAATAGAAATGCAATTTCACAATGAATGAACAAAAAGAGTTTTTTACATGGTAGCAATAAACATTTTTTTTAATATAATTGACATGGAACAGGGGGTGTAGTCTGTAAAAATGAACCAACTGGGGAAGGGCCTGTTGGGTCACAACTTTTGTATTGCAGCACATGTGCACGTAGGTATTTCATGTCAAAATGGAAAAGATTTAAGATTTTTCTCTTAAGTTTTATTACAGAATATCACAAATTACCAAAATGTAAAAAGCTAAAAAACAAGAACCCATATGCGTAGGCTCGGGAAGAGGGGGTACAGATGCATCCCCCATTGAAGCAAATTAGTTCCACTAAGTGTGTTAAAATACTAAAAATAACCATTACATTTTTACTGGAATAGGGATTTAATTTCGCATTCTGGAATTTAGTTCCACATTCTCATTTTGCACTCCTCCAGGCAGAATCTAGCCTGCACCACTTGAACTAGGTATTTGGCAAGCAAAACAATTAACAAATGAAATATGCTGGTTTAATATATTTGATTCCTGTTTGTCTTTCAATCATTTTCAAGTTATAAGTTGTCTTGGGTCGATTTTGTCCGGGTTGTTTTTGACCCAATTAATTATGTGTTATTTACAAATTATTGCAAATACTGTTGCAGGTATGATATTAATAAATGTAAACTCAATATATAGGCCCCAGATTGTTATTTAATAAGGTTAACATTAGCTGGTAGCTACAATTTCCTGAAGAACCACTTCCTGAATATGGAATGTTCTGTAATAATATACAGTACAGCTAAATATATATGGTGTTCAAGGTCATTAAATAATGTGACAAATTATTTTTCACATAGCATGATTTTCTATGGTGATCAGGAAGGTCATGTATGAACAAACTATGACAATACAGTGATCAGGATGGAAGGTCATATGTATGAACAAACTATGACAATAAAGCAAACTACTGTATGACAATAAAGCAAAGAGACCATTGTTAAGTTCAGATAGGTTTGTGTACAGCTAAACTACTGAAGTTTCAATAGAACAGCAATAAAACTTAAGTACTTAAGCACAGCCTAGCACACAAAAACCTACCTCCTTTGAAAGGGGCAGATCCAGGTATTTGAGGGGGCCCTGGGAGGGACTTTCACAGATGGAGGGTCTATACCACCTCAGCCCTACCATGGTTGGCATTCAGGTATGAAAATTTATGATTATGGCACCCCTAGGTGGCCAGAAATGGCACACCCAGACTTAAAATTTGAATATAATTTTCTTTGTTCTCCATTTTTTGAAAATTTTGAAAAATTTAAAGGGGGAAGGGGAGGGAGGTGGTGGCCAGCTGCCTCTTCCCCCTAAATCTGCCACTGCATTATATCAGTACAATATATTTTATGATAGTGTAGTATAACAACTCATAAAATATATAATGCATATGAATATAATATACAAATCTATATAATTTGAAAATGTTAAAAGTCACACACTTCTTTACGGCATAGGATTCATGCATATGACAAGAGTGGAAGATAAGTATGAAATTTAATCAATTGCTTAAAATGGTAATTTTATAAATTGTTTTTATATTTCCCACACCTGTTCAGTGTGTAAATACTATATTTACTACCATCTGGGGGTACCATATTCAGCATTTTATCGCCCCAGCCCTGGCGAGGTACGAGGTGGTGTCAAATTTCTTCTTTGTCTCACAAATTTTTTCATAACCTTGCCAGTTGTAAGAGTTGGAGACAAATTTAATAAAATGCCACGCACACACTTATTTTTGTTTTGTTTTATGTCTCCTGTAATTTATAGGTCCTTAAAGCTTTTTTTAAATTTTTATTTGACTGCTTGACACTACTATTTCAATGTGTTTATCTTGGTCAGTTTTCACACTAATTATCAGCAGAGCTCTTAGTCATTATAAGATACTAAAACAAATGCAAGATTTTCTTTTGAATTATCATGCAATTATAAGTACAGATCTCCCTCTAAGTAAAGACCCCTCCAATTAAAGACCATCTCCAATTAAAAACCACGTTTCTGTGGTCCCAAATTAACAAATGTCTTTTGTTTTTATTTATTGTAGTTAGAGACCAAAGCTACGAAGACCTTGGATACCCCGGTCACAAAAGTTGTCTTTAATTAGAGGGAGACCTGTGCCACAAATTTGATTGTATTATGTATTTTTCAACCATCTTTATATTATTTTTGTTTGATATTTAAAAAATGTTCTCCACTTGTTTTCTTCCCCCTACACTTTCTCATTTTTCCTACCCTTTTTTATTTCCGCTTAGCCCTCAATTTAATGCTAACAATTGAACAGGTCGCAACAAGCATACCCAGGACTGAAACTCCCAACATGGCCCCACTGCTAGCATCAGCTCACCTACTCTCGACCAATCAGAATGCAGAAGCACTTGACATAAACAAGCATTCTTCTCAAACATAAAGTTTGATTTCTACCCTCAGACAATACAGCTTTCAGATCATAGACCTTTATTACCAAGGTCTGGTGTTCAACAGGGTCGTTTACTTTGAAATACATACATCTTTACATTTAGGCTTGCTAAAGGACCTTTACAACCAATATAAGTTTCTATTCCAAAGCAATGCATAATATTATACTTTTTCAAATACCCATATTTTATTATAGTCATAAAGATGATCAATAGGCTTGGATGGACACCTCTATCAAGAGACACAAAAACATTACACTGATCCTCCTTTTCAAAACTATCAATAAAATCATTTATATGGCCTTTTCTTGGTCCCACCTGAGTCTCAACATCTAAATTGATTAACAGCTTAAACATTAACTGCAACACAATATGTTACATCAATCACAACCGATACATACAGAAACTTGCTCTTTCCAAGAACAATCACACATTGGAATATGCTTGAACCTTTACCTCCAAGTTAATAAATAATGATTCTTCTTTACTAAACCATCAATAAACAAATTTACAGAGCCTTCCCGTTGGTCTCACATGAGCCTCAACAAAGTAGATTAACATTAGCAACAAAACATTAGCTGCAAACACTAGATATATACAGCAACATAGATTGGACATGCTCTTGACAATTCTATTGCTAATCTTCTAACTTAAATTTAATACAGCAATTACTTAAGATTATTTTATTTTTATTTGTTTATATTTTTATTATAAGCTTATTATATTAGCATATTTTTTCATGACTCAGATTAAATCCAACTTGTATAATTACACAATTCTTTATCTTTCCTCAACTTCAACTAAGCAATAATACTATTAATCCATGTAGCAAATGGGGCTTCCCCCCACAGGGATTCTAGGCAGACCTCCCTCCCACTCTTTTCTTCCATTGCTCACACTACCCCAGCCAAAACATAAATTCCCTTCCCTCCTCCAAGTCATTGATATGTACTTGTATATAGATGGCAATATAATAGAATTTAGTCAAGTCTACTTAGAAAAAAAAAATACATGGAAGGCGAGTGGTCAAGTGGTATAACAGGGGCACCGCTAACTACAGTCAGAACATCAGCACTGGTTCCAGCCACTCCTTTCTCAGGGTTCAGTTGGTAGAACCAAGTCTTCTTGGAGGACTTAAAATGGAGGCCCAGTGTAACTATTTGGCTCTTGTGCACTTTAATGAACCCATGGCATCTTT